AAACGGAGCCCGACAGAGGAGGGAGGGGCGGGGCGGCTGTCGCCGTGCAGCGCTTCAACAACTGTCCTGCGTCTGACCTCAAAGTGCACAAGCTTCAGACTTCAGCGTTGGCTGCGATTTTGAAGCTGAAATCGCGTTCGGTGTGAACGCACCATTAGCCTTGATAACCAAAAGGCTCAACAAAAAATAAAAAGCATGGTTATTCTTAAAGTGCATCTTACCCCACTGTGAAAAGATAACTCCGCCCCCAAAGCAAAATTAGAAAAATGCATCAAAGTGGGTAGGGGAGGGGGTGTGGGTGGGGAAGGAGGGGTTAGAGAGCAGAGGCGTGGCCAGGACGAGAGAACGTGACAGCTAGCATTAGCGTAATTGATGCAACATGGACAGTGACCACAGCGATGCAGAGAGTTACATCACTGAACGGTCTGAGGTGGAAGATTTTTCACCCTCACCAGAGATTTTTCACCCTCACTCATTGATTCACCAGAGGCAGAGAGAGAATTGGAGCACAGTGGCCCTGAGTCTTACCGGTTCGAGCCGCTGGCTTCAGGTGCAGCGATGCCAGAAGCTGCTGCTGCCGAGACAATGGAGGACCGAATGGCTCCAGTATCTGAGTGGTAAATTGATGTTGGCAGCATTGGCTAATGTTCAAAGCAATAACAAACTTAATGTTTTTTAACGTTAAACTATCTCAAGTAAGGCATACGATCGAAAGTAAAAAATAAATAAATAATCTTTCAACAGGTGCACCTGTGGTCACTGCAGCTCCCTGTCCCCTGTAGAGAACGTGTGTTGTAGGGAGACACCAAAGGTATATTTATGGATTAGTTAGCACTTCATAAAGCCCTAATAATTGTACTTAAAAAACACCCAACACTAAACCTGATCTTGAGTACATAGTGCACTGCGAACTTTACTGTCTTAAAGCAGTTTTCWATCTGGACCTGGGCTGTAAATGAGTATGGGTACACAATTATTCTTACCAGGCAAAGCAAACACAAACATACCCCAAAATAAAAAAAGTCTTTATTCACGTTATACACCACCATGAGTTAAAAAAACACATTTACTAAGCAAATATTAAATATTTCCTGCATGATTGTCAATTTCATCAATTATGAAACTCCCTGTTCTGTCACCACTAGCATATAGACCTTTAATAAAAATTGTATTATATTACATGTCCAAATCATAACCACCATAAATATCTTAGCTTTGATATAAGACAATAAGCCTCAAGATCTACGGTTCACATCTACATCCTGTTGTACAAATATTACAAACTTATACATGTGTAAAAACTTCAATTATAATTGTTTCAGGTGTGCCAAACTTCAAGTTTGTAAAACAAAACACAAACTAAGTGCAAGTATCTTTTAGAATAATCAAAATGTCATTCTACAAAGTTTTTGGAAGCATAAGCCATTTGTTAAATTTTGAAAAAGTACTCTACTAGAAATTACGACTAAAACAACTTCTTCTGTCATTGGTTATGAACAGATGTGAACAGGTGGGTGTGTACACCTGCATTACTGACCATCCGGGATTTCAGCTTGTAGCACTGAACCCATACGTGCTGCAGGCTGTTTATGGGACTTATGTGCAGCTCTTTGGTGAGATGCCAGAAACAATGTTGAACAGGTTAGTTACAGAAGGAGCCATTAATATTTCTATGACACACTATGTAAACACACATTCTATACTAACTATTTCAGCCGTTACAGACACCTCGCATACCGCAATGTTGTAAGGTGGTGCTGGGGATACCTGGGCCAGCACATACGGGTGGTAATACCATCCTGCATAGTCACTCGTATCAGACAGGAGTTCCCAGAGGATGGACTGTATAGAGGATTCCTGCCTCCACTGCACTTTTAATATCAAGGTAACAGTTGATGCACAAAACCACAATAAGAATGTTAGGCATTTTTATTAATGTAACCCAGTTTCAGTAGTAAGGCATTTCATACATTTATGTGATGCAAAACGTTTG